GCTAATATACGCACCAGTTTCATGTCTGCTCTTCAGAAACTGAACTGATTTGCTAGCTTTCTTGTTTTCTGTGATGCTACAACTCGTGAAACATTCGACGTCTTTTCTTCTTCTTCTTCTTCTTCTTCTTATGTTTTTTGGCGGTTTTGGCAAACCAACTTAAAGGTGCATTACCGCCACCTACTGATGTGGAGTGTGGAGTGAACAGATTTGGTAGAGAGAAGGATATACAGGTGCATCTCAATAAATTAGAATGAGAAGAATGTGCTTTACTGTTTCTGGATTCCCACGTTTGTCTTTTCTTCTACTGTGTGTCCTGACAGACGCGCATTTGCCTACTAGCGGCCGGGCGTGGCACTGCATTACGACTGTGCTGAAAACAGAGGATTTATTTATTTCGAAAATATATGATTTATTTGAGAAAATAAAGAGAGTTTCTGGCTTTGCAAGATAAATAGATAAATAAAATAAAGAATATTACGGCAATGGTAGGCACTACAAGTATATATTTATTGTATTATATATATTATATTACAATATTATATATTTTATGTATTTATATAAAATAATTATGTAAGATATTTTTGTTCCAATATATTGTAATTGTATCTGATCTGTTTTCATTTTTTTTTCAGCATATTTATTCAGTATTATAAACAGTGCACTTTTATTTCTTTGTTTATTTAGCGCCCTTGCATTTTTGTTATTTATATATAATATTTAATAGTATAAATAAATATGTATATATATTATAATCATCCCGCAAAAGACCCTCAAAGCACTGAGTTATAGCCAGGCTTTTTGCTTCATGTAGATTTTCATGTAACCTTTTAACAAAAACACAGATGTCTGACAAACACTACAATAAAACTACAATAATTTACTCATGAATAATGGTACTCAGAAACAAATAAATAATGAACTAATAAAAACATCACCTATTGTCAGTTGTCCACTAGCAGTGAAAGCTTAATAAAACAGAAAAATTATAAATGAGGCCCTATGGGATAAGATCTCTGCCACAATTCTACAATTCCCACAAAAGTGCATTTTGCACGCACAAACTGAGTTTTGTGGAGAAAATGTTTGTCTCGCAAAGAAGAAAGTATTTAGAGCGCACCAAAATCAATTTTGCATTTAAAATAATTTTATTTATTATTGATTATAATATATATACATATTTATTTATACTATTAAATATTATATATAAATAACAAAAATGCAAGGGCGCTAAATAAACAAAGAAATAAAAGTGCACTGTTTATAATACTGAATAAATATGCTGAAAAAAAAATGAAAACAGATCAGATACAATTACAATATATTGGAACAAAAATATCTTACATAAGTGTAGTAAAATACTTGAAGATACTTTTTTTTAGGCTTTATAGACAGATAAGTTGAGAGTGACTCTTGAAGGACCAGCACCACATCCTCTTGTACCACTGTTTGAAGAATCTGCCAGAATCTGGCAGTAAATTTTATCTGTAGAAGATAACCTGCTTAATAATTATGCACAACTGAATATAAGGCGATTTTCACTTCCAGTTTTCATGAACAATTATATATCGGTTATAAGTGATTAAATAGAAGATTAATAGTAGTTATTAAGATTGATGTTGTTTGGAATTGGTAAAATGTGCTTGGAAAAAAATATAATCAGAATATCAACTTGCATAATAATTATGCATGCACTGTATTTTCCCTCCTCCACTGCCATCAGTAATGCAAGGAATGTTGTGATTGGTTGTCAAGGCAGCCAATCAGAATTTAGCAGCCTCGTCTCTGATTGGCTGGAATTATGGCATATCGTAACGCTGGGTTGTATTGAGCAAGCCAGCCGTCGGCATTTAGAGAGCACTGAGGGCAGGCATCAAGGCAAGGCAAGGCAAGTTTATTTATATAGCACATTTCATACACAATGGTAATTCAAAGTGCTTTACATAAAAGAAAAGAAAATAATAATACAAGGAATTTAAAAACTTTGAAAATTATTTAGTCATTTTCAAGTAATTGAAAATGACTTTGAAAAAGCATCAAAGGAGCAAGCTAGTGAAACGTTGCACTAGGGCTGTGCAAATAATCGAATGTAATTTTCATGTGCATCTAGTCAGTAAAGCATTCGATTATTTGCACAGCCCTAAGTTGCACGCGCAAAAGAGAAGGTCTGCACACATCCAAAAACTTATTTTAAATGCAAAATTGATTTTAGTGCACACGAAATACTTTTTTCTTTGCGAGACGAACATTTTCTCCACAAAACTCAGATCGCGCGCGTGCAAAATGCATTTTTGTGAGCTCAAAATATGATCTTTCACGCGCAGAATTGTGGCAGCGATCTAACCCCATAGAGACCCACCGTAACTTAACTGTCCAATCAGAAACAGCTGCGGGCCGGCAGGCCCCGCCCACTTGATCACTGGTTTGAGTGACGGTCTGGCTCTACCTGCTCGTTGTGTTTACGCTCCGTCGGTCCCGTATGTGCGTGATTCACCTGCTCAAACGCTCCTGAAGATCCGCTGAAGTTTAAGACGGTAAGATGGCGAGAGATCAGGAAACGAAGCAGGTGGTGGATTTATCGCTGCGTTCTCTTGTATGAACTCGTGTTTGATGTTTGTTCCGTAGGTCGGTCTGGAAGTGTTTTATTCCGGTCTGGATGAGTCAATGTCTCTGTTCTGGTCATTTAATCTGTAGCAGTTCCACATGATCACTGCTGGAATGACACACACACAACTCCATAACGAGCAGTCACACTCTCCATGAACAGGTAAAACTAGGTTTTACTGCATTCTAACCTAAAAGTTCTTAAATTGCATTCCTAAATTTGTCATTTTGGAACTTTGGAACATTGTTACAGCAGGTCAAACACTTGAAACAGTGTTACAGTGTTAAAAAGATTATTCAGAGCTGTTTGACAAATTAAGCTCATAATTTGTAGTATTAAATAAATAAGTTGCATGTTTGTTTAATGGAGTTATTGCTCGTAATAACACAGGAACTGGTGAGACAGGTGCAGAAGATCTTCATGATGGATGAAAGTGCTGTAAATGAGTCTAATGTGAAAGTGGCGGTCCGGGTGCGACCCATGAACAGGAGAGGTGAGTGTGAACCGCAGCCATGTGACTGTGTTTAATGTTTAGAGACTGTGTGTTTGATTCTGATCTTGATCTGTGGCCCTTATTTAATTTATGATCCTCATTTATGAAAGCAAACCTTCCTTTTATGAGTGACAGTGACTATTGAGGGTGTCGGGATGATGAAAATGAAAAAAATCTGGTTTAAAATGCATAAACTTTGTTTATATTGTATTTGCATGCTGTATTTTTGAAAATGTGTGTGTATATGTATGTATATGTATGTGTGTATATATATATATATATATATATATATGAAGAGTGTATTTGCAGAAACCGATAACAATCATGTTTTTTTATTATGTTATCATGTTTTTATATGGTTAGGTAGCTGTTTTTAAGTTATTTTGTAACCTAGTCAAAATAACTCAACTGCAGTTTGACTGAGATTTATTGGAATGCACAATGAAAAAAACATGATTTTTGAGAATTGTTAAAAACGGAGTTATCTGTTTTTGCAAATGAACTCTTCATATATAAACAAACATATTTAAAAAATGATGCAAATGTCAATTATTTGTTCAATTACATATATAATTTAAGAAAAAAAAAATGTGAGTAGTTTTTGAAATATCGCATATAAAATGCTGTTTGTGAGCGATGATGCAAACTATATTATGACCAGTTTTTGATTGATTGTTATTAATGTGCTTTTTATAGAACGAGATTTAAAGACAAAATGTGTAGTGGACATGGAAGGAAATCAGACCATCCTGTACCCGGCCAATGGAAACCTGGGAAAGGGCGACAGCAGGTAAACTGGGGTGTGTTTGTGTGGGTGTGTGATTGTATTTGGCAAAAATGACCAATCTTTATATCTGTCTTGACAAGCCTCAAACTACTGGGGTAATCAACTAGATCTGAAGAACACATGTGCTGCTTGCCTTTGCAGAACAATGCTAGGGTGTTCTGAGGAGTTTCTAGTGGCTATTTATTGCTCAGCAGGTGAAATCATGATGAGTCTGATCACAGAGTAAAGAAACAGAATCTCTATGCAGCAGATCATGCATCTGACTTCCTGTTTTAGTCTGATTCTCTCTCTCTCCCACTGATATTTTCTTTCTTTCTCTACATTCCTCTTCTCCTTTGACCTTCAGTGTCCATAGAAACGAATGAAGGTTCATTGGCAGGTCAAAGGTAATCCTGGATACTCATGATTAAAAAACCCAAGAAACTAAATTACTCATGTCTCATTGGGTCTTTTCAGGCAACCTAAAAACAAAGCTGCACGGATGTGTGCTGTCCTTTCGTTTACCAAGCACCACCACATAGCTTTACAAATCTGCTTTACTTCCTGTGAATAGTGAATACAAATACTGTAGGCATTTCAGAAAAGAAAACTTTGAATGTTCAACTGTCAAAGTTTTCGCTCGCAGTTTACAATAAAAATATCTTGAAGTTTGAAAGTTATATGTTCATTGTGTGTTCCTTAGGAGTTGCTAAAACTTTCGGAGTGCTAGGTGGTTACTGGTATGGTTTCTGTAGTGTTGCTGTGTGTGTTTTTTAAGCTGTTCTGGCCTGGGTGGTTGTTAGGCAGATACTTAAGTGTTCTTGGTAGATTCAATGGCATTTTGTGGTTGTCAGGGTGTTCTGGGTGGTTGCTAGGTCGTTGCCAGGCAAATGTTAAGGTGTTCTGAGTGGTTTCAAGGGCAATATGTGGTTTAAGATGTTCTGGGCAGTTGCTAGGGTGTTGCTAAGGTTTTCTGAGTGGTTTCAAGGGCATTATGTGGTTTTTAAGGTGTTGTGGGTGGTTGCTAGGGTGTTGCTAAGATTTTATGAGTGGTTTCTAGGACATTATATTTCATTTTATTTATATATATATATATATATATATATATATATACATCGAATGTTACTTGTTTGGGGGACACATATTTTGATGAAGCAATATTTTGAAAACATCTGAGCAACTGTCACACTATTAAAATGTGATCAGTAGTATGTAGCCTATTGTCAACACTAGTAATAAAATGACATATAGAGCCAAAGAAATACTAATTAATTTCATACATATTATTACAGGGACAGTCTCCTGATGTAACCCAAGGTTAAGTGCCTTACTCAAGGGAACAATGGTGATATTT